GCTTCTCGCTCTACGCGATTTGTCGAGGAGTCGACGGTGCTACCGTGGCGGTGGATGTTAACCGGAGATGTTGGTCTATATATCAGGTAGAAACTATGCAACGATGCTATGCACTTACTGCGTAGGCGTGCCACTGTGTGCTAACACTTCACAAAACGGTGGACCATGGAATTTCAAAATTCCATCCGCCAAACAAGCGAATCTCTCATTTCGAAGACGGAAGCTCACGCTCGAATGCTCCTGCAAAGTAAACGTCATGGAACAACAACAACAACAAAAAAAAAATCCGTAGATTCCACGCATAGCGCGGAACAATTTCATGCGAAGCAGTGGGTGAGTATCAGGCTGTGCCGGACTTTTCAAAAGTGAGATCCTTAGATCAAACGTGAAATTCGACCGTCTTTTTCCACTGCGTCAGGGACGAGCGATGCAAGATATCATCATGACTTGATTACGTCACCACAAGACGTCGCAAATTGTCAAAAATTGGAACGTCACTATGACGTCTCATTACATGATGATGCCATCACATGAAATCGTAGTTTGGTGGCACGATCGCGGAGGCTGTGCGAAACCATGGAAGGTGCAGAGAGCTTTTGAAGGGTGGCGGGGCAGGATCGGCACAGCGACTAAGAAGTAATATAAAATGGTTTTCGTCTTCGAGTCGCCTTAAGTGAATAGACCGTGTGAGTTTTGATTCGAGCTTTACAAGGGGAATCGAAGTCTTTGGGATTGCGCATATCGTTGAACTGGCATCCAGGTCGACTACATAGGCGTGTAAACATTATGGTCCGACATAAGCTTGGGGCTCCCGTTGAAGCTACGTCTAATATATCGCGAAGAAATGCACTCTACGGTTGGATGATATGCGTGTCGTAAGTGTTGTCATAAGCGATGATTTACTCAAGCGTGCGGAGTCAGTGCCTATTTGCAATGTTATAAATGCCTGATAGCCAACAATTGCATGGAGTCTTTTTCCCAAGTGAACCGAAGCACTGGCGTGCTCGTTAACCGTGCTCGTTTAGGGGCCCCTTTACGCACGCAGCACACACACACATCGTTATGTTTTTATAAAGATACTATATTTCGAGCGTGCATGGCATACGGACGATACTTCCAGCTATGCGTCGTGGCTCTGCTCACGGGACAGCAGAGAGAGAGGTAGCGAGAGAGTAAACTTTGTCTACAAGAATAGCAGTAAATTCCTCCATGGATGAGTCACACCTTCGGAAACGGGAACAGAAGCGTGGAAACTACTTTCTTCTTCGGGGCAGTCTCCCTTTACTTCTCAAGCGAGAAAATAACGCCTCCTCGTCCTCAGTAGCGGAAGCCACGCAGCTTGCACATTCCTCGCCTCCTCCGTTAGGGCAGTCTAAAACGAAACAGACACCAAATATGCCGGTTGGTTGCAAGCGTTCGCCCGCTTGCTGGCTTGCGTATAGAGTGCGTCATTACCACTCTGCAAGACCCCGTGGCATCTTTGGCGATCCTTCGTCAGTGCTCGTGGGTCTCGCAAGTTGCAGCATTTATGACCTCCAGGAGTGCCGTAATTCAGCGCTGACGCGACGATACTTCAGTTTCTTGTGTTTTTTTTTTTTGTCGAACCGAGTGCGACGAAGCTAAGCTCACTCGGATATACCCCGAGAACGAGTAATTTGTAAGGGGTCCCGCTTCGCACGCAGGGTGGTGGCAAAGTTCCGTGCTTTCGTTCTGCCCTCCTTTCTTTCTTTCTTGGGCGGAGTACTCTTTCTCTCTTTTCTTTCCAGCTGTATCTCTTTCGTTTTGCTCCACATTGCCACCAAGCGCGACCAGCGAGTCTCAAAGAAGAAGCGAGTTCGCTGCCGCCGATGTCGACGAAGAAGAGAAAAGTACAAAAGTTTACTCTGGTGCGAGAATGCGCGCTCGGAACATAGGGGTGGGGACGACGACTAAAAAACACCAAAGGCCGCAGTAATACCGATAATAAAGAAAAAAAAAGCGAACTTTCTCAAGACGAGTGCCACCAGGCAGGCGGTAAATCACTTGTTGCTCACACACAAAAAAACTTTCTCGCTCTCCAGTTCTCTCTTCTTGTCAAGAAGGGTAAGGGGGGGGGGGAGAGTATGGGCAGTCTGTGCGGCAGCCAGGCGATGACGTGCGCTCCCGAAAGCGCGCGCGCGTGAGTGCAGTGCAGAAAGCGACGCCTAGTGGAATGTTTTGTCCCAACTGGGGCGGTGCGTAGGGAAAGCACGTGGCAGGCGGTGAGTGTTGGTGTGGAATAGTGGATGTGCGGGACGGTGGTGGTTAGTATCACCACAGAGTGCGCGTGGCGCTATAAATTAACTGCAAGACGTCGCCGCCTGAACTCGACTTCGAAGAGTGCTAGTCACGTGGTCGTGACACACCGAAGCCGCGTACGTGTGCGGTCCGCAGTTACTGTGCTACCATAGAGGTGCGTACGAGGGGAGGCGGGGGGGGGGGGTGCAAAGTCTTTTCCATACGTTGATTTAATACGAAGGAGGGGGGGGCGCTGCGTCAAACTTCACCCCCCCCCCCTCCGCTGAAGAGGAACGCGGCGCATGCTTACGGGTGCTACGTTTCGCGTCGCCATCTCTGTCCGAACGTTTTGGTTTCTTCGACGGAGGATAAACAGAAAAGAACCTTCTGTTTTTTTTTCTCTTGGTCGCCGCTAACGCGTGACTCTGAGCGAGCGAGCCAGCGCGCGTGGCTCGAATCTGCCAACGCCTCGATTGTGGGTCGCCGAGCGGAGAGACCGCCGCAGCGTCGTTGCGTGTTCGTAGCATACGCTCGACGACAGGTCGTCGCGAGGAGAAGGCGAGGAGGCAGGCGATCGGCCAACGAGTGCGACACCGTTTCCCCGGTGCCCCGCGAAACACGGACGTTGACAATCTGCTTTCGCTCTCGGCTTGTCGGGGGTTTCGTGCTTGTTTGTGTTTCGCTGGCACCTCTCTTATACACCGGCGCGGTTTTCTTTGACAACTCCCGTGCCAGTTGTTTTTTTTTTTTCATTATTTCGTGTTTTTTTTCTCGACCATACGAGCACGACCGCGTGAACAGTTCCAAGAGTATCGTACTATAAGTAAACGCTTTCTAAGTGCCGGGGACTTTTCGATAAGCCTGTGGGCCGTAATCGGTATGGAGCACGTGATAGTGAAGCTCACGTTGACGGCGTGGCTATCAGTCCGCCGTGAGTTTGAGAAGCCCCACCGAAACATCGATATACTGTCTGTGGCCGCACGTGATGCCTATTGTCAGGAGTGCCCAAGCTTTGAGTAACAGCTGACGCGGTGCTCAAACTTCTTGCCGGTAAAATGTGACTCGTTGGACGACTTATAACTGTGAATAGACGAAGAAAAATTCGATGAAATCGCCGTGCTCTCTTCTCTAACATCAGTCCTACGTCCACCCCATATTTCGTGGCCTTGCGAAGTTCGGATGCGCCTATACATTCTGTTCCAACATCTGAAATATCGTGGATGAGAAGAACCTACCTAGTGATTAGAAGTGGTACTTAGTGCGTGAAATGAGTGCGTGAAATGAGTGCGTGAACTGAACGAAGGTTGGTATGAAGGGTAGCGAATGAGTACGAATGAAGAATGAACAAAATTGAAGTGAATTACAGCGATAGCAATGGTGAAGCAAATATAATGTAGTTACCCTGCGCAAGTGAACGCAATGTTGAAACGAATAAGCGAATTCCGGGTAAATTAAATGTGGAATCGAACAGTGCTTCAAACGTTTAAAGGAGCCCTGAAACACTTTTTCAAGTCAACATGAAATTAATTCACTGCAAGAGCTTATTGCCTCACGAATTCAACGCCGCAAAATTCAACGCCGCAATTTTGAGAATCCGTCCAGTGCGAGTGGAGGTACAAAGATTCGTTGCATACTGCATTTGCATTCTCTCTTCTGTCGTCCCCACAAAAGCACTGGAAGCTAAGCAGGGAGGGATGGCAGGGGCAAAGAAAATACGTCACGCACGTTTCGTGACCTTGAGCACTTTTTTTTCTTTTTTCTTCGAATGTGCAGCTTTTTCAGCGTGATCGTGCGCGCACGCGTGGACAAGTCGCGGCCTCCCGCGGCGATCTCTGTAACGACCAAACGTGCCATGTTCAAATCAGCCAATGCCTGAAAGATGGGCTTTCTACGAGTGACTTTGAGCGTCTTCCGTCATTCGTTGAGAGGCGAGGAAAGCAATGTCTAGCTGAATGTGATCATTTACCGTGAATTCTAGGCAGTGATTTCTGACGGCATGCTCAAAAAGTGTTACAGGGCCCCTTTAAACAAACGAGGGGCGTTCGTAAATTTTTCGTTATCAGTGCGATATATTTATGAAAGGCGTACACGACGGTCATCAAAATGAATGTGCATCTGTCTGATTTTGTCGTCACACAAAACTTCGCTTATTTGTTATACCAGTCAGCACCACTAGGCAACGTAACAAAATGGGGGCGCCCATCAGGAAAGCCCCTGTCACTCAGCGCAGGGGTAGTTCGTTCATGCGGCTACGAAATATTGCTTTCTCCCGCCATACTCACACCATCTCTTGTTCATTTGTTTGTTGCCTGTGAGCATTGGCACATACACATCATCTCTCGGACAAAGCGACTTCTTCCTTTTCCTTCGCATGAAGAGCACACTTCGCGGGAATGTTTTTAGGGCGACGAAGAAGTCATCGCTCACGTCGAGCTCTTTCTCAGATCTGAAGAATCGAAGATGATGAGTTTTATACTTCAACGATCTGCGCAAGGCCTATGCGTCATGCGCGTAATCTTTGGGAGGAGGCTGTACAAAGAAATAACAAATTTTCGCCCCAATCTTCGTTTCTCTTGCTTCATGCTAAAATACGTTTCACGAACGCCCCCCCCCCCCCCATAACATAATGAACACCTCGTGAAAAGAGAGGTTCTCGTTGGCGTTAGCTAAAAGAGACTAACGTTTTTCTTTTGTTGCTTCTGGCTGACTTCAACGTTCATTTTGGACTTTCGTCTCTTTGCCAGATAACTCAGCTGAAGATTGCCAGCAATCCTTTCGCCAAAGGTTTCAGGGACTGCGACGCAGAAGACTGGTGAGTGAGATGCCCTTTGATGCACTTGAAATTGGGAAAGCCGTATTTTTCGCCACTGCTATAACTTCTCGTTCTTCGGGTTGCACGGCGTGGCACCGAGAAGGCGTGGCACCTAGAAAGGTGCAACTACTTCGATGCCACGTCGTTTTGATAGCATCCCCGTGGCTACAGTGGGGTGATATGCTGGGCCCCTTGCTGCTCAGTATGTGCGTGCGTTCGTAATCTGCAAGTGCGTGCCCTCTACAGCGCCGCTGACGTACGATCAATCCAAGTTTGTTAAAAACGTGTGACTGGCTAGAGCAGGATCGGTTGATGAAAATAAACACAGATGAGTGGAGGGAGAGAGTAATGAGTGGAAGGCGAGGAGGTAAAACGTATACGTAACATTTCTCACTTTTGTTGTGGCCGGCTTTCCACGCCGCAAGAGACTGAAAGAGAGACTTTATATAAAAATAAAATTTCATAAATTGAAAAGTGGCAAAACAAATGTGTGCGTCAACAAGCTAGTCATCTAAATTCGAATCAGTGACATACTAACGGCTAGAGAGCTATAGATAAAAAATAAACGTTTATTAATGAAACATAGATGCGGTTGGTGTCCTATCGATTATGAAACCGCGTGCGACTGCTACTGCTTTAGTGATGGATTCTCCACCCCCCCCCCCCTCGCCTTTCCCACCGCAATATAGAAATGTAACGGATGTCGAAGTAGAATGACCAGAAATATTTCGGCTTTAGTGCCTTTCAAACATACTGTGAGCATACAAATAATCGTGATAATCGTCATAGTTTCTCTCTCGCCGAGTCTTCCGTCTGTGGTTCGTGCAGCTGTGTGTAAATACAAACATCGTACCGTCGGACCGGACCTAAGCACTCTAGCATCGACGCGCAAGGCAGTCGACGTGGCCCGAAATCAAACTCGACGAAGTTACGCTCAGCAGCAGCACTCCACAAAGCCACCGCTGCCGTATATGGGGTTAATTAACGCGGCAAACACGAAAGCGTCCGAAGTCGTCATCCCTCGCTCTCGGAGGCACACAACTCGATCGCATTTCCGCAGCAAAAACTTGGCGCCTGACTTTATTTTAGAGTCATCCTCCCGTATACACACCAAGTGACAGCTGCGGTGCGTTTTGCGCGAAGCAGTCGCGATCCGTCCACGGACACGGCATCTTCGAGGGATTTGGAGACGTGCCTGCTTTTTTTATGTCTCCGGGCTTCATGCGAAGAGAAGGGCTCTCAAAGCGGTCGTTAAAAGACCGCCATCAAGTACCGCTTTTCCAGAGCAGGCACTTGGCGGCGACATCACAAGCGAGATATCCCACTCGAGGGTGTTTCCCCTTTCTTGGAGGGCATAACTCGAGTATCTCGCGGTCGGAAACAGAAGCACCCTTCGGTGCAGCCGGCACACGGTAACGCTCCTCGATCAAGCTGGCCGTGAAAAACGATACGTCGAGCGAAGCACAGAGTATGCAACTGCGATCCGTGGCTTCCGCTTCTAATGCATGACCCACACTGTAAAAAAATTACGAGCGATTAAAAGAAGAAAAATGACGGCTGTTACGTCTTCACAAGCGGTCGCGGCGCATGCCTTGGTGCATCGAGTGTAAATCTTGACAGGTTCGAATGGCGCACCGTATACTTCTAAAACATGACATAGATAAAGCAACGCACACATAGCTTCAATGTTTCTATGGAGCAGAGTCTCTTTCGTGTCATGCGTTACCGTACACACGCTGTCGATAAAATGATCAATTTGCCAGTTATAAAAGCTATGTAAGTGCATCATGTTGTCTGCTTGCGCGTTGTGCCAACGAAGAGGTTGTAGCAAATCGCTGCGTGAAGGCGAAATTGTTCACAATTTTCAGCGCAGGACAATGCGGGTAGATCATCGAACGAGGCTTCTCTGTCCTACATTGGATTTATGACATACTGATCATGATAATCATGACGACGAAACATGCGAGCGCTGTGTATTATATATATATATATATATATATATATATATATATATATATATATATATATATATATATATATATATATTTGTGTGGCTGGTGTTGCGTGCTTAACCAGCTGAAAATATATCTGTCTACTATTCCGAGTCGGTCTCCTTCTCGTAACAATACATATAGAGCGTGAACGTACTATCACACGCCGGGTATTCATAAAACGGAGGAAGTTGACATTCCTCCCCTTTCAAAAAAAAAAAACTATCTGGCCATGCCCGTGCAAGAACTTTACGGGGTGCCGCAGAACTGTACCACGTCTCATAATTTTAACCCACGTGTGAACGAGAAGCGGTAGGCCGAATAGGCTCCTTATGTAAGTCAAGTCATTTACCTTTTCTGAGCTCACAAACCTTCTTCGCTAAACTGGGAAAGTTGGTACTAATTCATTATGCTATGGCGCAAGAAGAACGAGGAAAATTACTGAAACACGCATTCGACAGTACACAGCGCGCAGAAAGGGGTTTATGAAGGGCGTGCCGAACCTGACACACATGTGACCAAAAATTATAAACTTCCGATAAGCTTATTCCCGGACGTTGTTATGCCAGCGAGTCCTCGTCAAACGTCCGTGCCTCTGAAAAAGGCAATCTGGGTCAAGGCCAGCCCGCAATCCGCCTGGCGCGATCAACTCGACGGCGTGAACACGTGCGGCGCATCTCTGGCCCACGTGCATTGAGTCAGCTGCGCACGTGACAGCGAGCCGGCGTCCTCGTGTCTGGTGGTCTGACGCATGGCGCTGCAACCCCATTGGAGGAGTCTGCCCTGACGACCAGCGGCGCTTCTGATTGGACATTTTGGGTGGACCCGGTGTAAATAAAAGAAGCCCTGCGGCGCGTCGCGATCGGCAGTCCTTTGAGAGAGGAGTCCCCATGTCGGAGAGCCGACATGTGTGTGAGTCAGCGGTCTTAGGCGAAAAGTTGACCTATGTATTAGAGAGGAGAGCTCGGCTCTTCGAGTCTCTGTCGGCCCCAGTGCCGAAATTGTAACGCCTCTGTAATTATGCTGTACATAAACCTTGTTTAACTCACCGTCGTCTCGTCCGCTCGTCTTATCAGCTCTGCGCAGAAGCAGTCGCGAGCTGATAAACATACGCTACCAAACGGCTGGTGACCTTCCCGGCGGAGTTGAAAGCAGTGGCGCCTACAGGACCGTGTTGGCGTCGCCGTCTTGCGCAACAGTGGTGGCTTCGGTGGGATCGGTCCGTCGTTCGCAACAGTGGTTGGCAGCTGCGGGATCGACCGGCGTCAGCGACATCGATGCGGTGAGTGCCTGATGTTTTCCCCTCAGTTCACCAGACTACTCTAGCTCAGGTTGTAGTAGTTTAGAGAAGGGCTGTGTGAAGCATTGAAGGGAGCTTTGATCGTTCCAAGCCAAGTCGAAGCGCTTTGAAACCAAAGTTAATGCGAAGGGGGTAAACACGGGAGTGTGCAAAATTGCTTGCGCGTCTTGCTAGTAGGCTTATAGTGGGTACGGCAAGTAGATTCTTAACAGGGGCAAACAGCAAGAGGCCAGTGTGAACGATGGAGAACCTTAAAGTGAAGGAACTCATCGAAATTTGTGAGGAACTCGGCATTACTTTGGGCCGTGCAAAACGAAAGCAAGCGATCCTTGAGATCATGAAGGATGAGGGAGTGTCGGCTGAGGAAGTCGATGAGGCCTGGGTGGATATCAAAGCACGCCGCGAGGAGACTGAAAAGCGAGAAGCTCGCGAACGTGAAGAAGCTGAAAGGCGAGAAGCTCGCGAACGTGAAGAAAGGCGAGAAGCTCGCGAACGTGAAGAGGCTGAAAGGCGAGAAGCTCGCGAACGTGAAGAAGCTGAAAGGCGCGAAGCTCGCGAAGAAGCTGAAAGGCGCGAAGCTCGCGAACGTGAAGAAGCTGAAAGGCGCGAACGTCGCGAGGAGGCCGAGAGACAGGAGCGCCTCGAGATGAAACGAATAGAATTGGCAATCCTACAGTGTTCGCAGGCGCCTAGCGCAGCTTCTTCGACGATTCAGGTCAGCGGTATTAGAATTGGGGATCAACTGCCACCGTTCGTAGTAGGCGAGGACATGGCGAAGTATCTCGTCAAGTTTGAACACGTCTGTGAGCGAAATGCTTTGGAGCAGTCTCTTTGGGCGCGGAACCTGCTAGCTCTTCTTCCCGGCGAAGTGTCCGACGCGATAACTTGCTTGTCGAGGGAAGCGTTTGAGAGCTATGACGAGGTTAAGGAAGTGCTCTTGAGACGTTATAAGTTGTCACCCGAGGCTTTCAGGCAAAGGTTCCGGTATGCTGAAAAGGGGAAGGAGTCACACGTTGACTTCGCGTTTCGTCTTAAAGCCGATTTGATTGAATGGCTCAAGGGCGAAGGTGTTTATGACGACCGCGATAAAGTAGTGGAATGCGTTGCATTGGAGCAATTCTACCGCTGCATCGAGGAGGATGTCAAACTTTGGCTGCAGGACAGACTTGGGGACGTACAGTTAAACAAGGCAGCTGAGTTAGCTGAGGAGTATTATACTCGCCGAAAGTTGCATAGCAGGGCAGTGCGCGTTGAAAAGGATGAAAGAAAAGAGGGCTTTTCAAGGAAACCTGATCAACGGAAACCCGCTCCGCACCGTAATTTCAAGAAGGACCCGTCTCTTACGAAGGACAGTGTAGGGGAAGGGCAAACAGAAGCGGAGAAATCGAGTGAGGTTTCTACCACACAGGCATTAGAACCGGAAAACAAACGGAAGCCGCTAATCTGCTACAACTGTAAAAAGGAAGGGCACATCGCGAGAAACTGTCAGGAAAAGTTTGCCTTCGCAACGATCCGAGAATCAGAAAAAAACATTCGGTTGTTGGAGCCGTATCTCCAAGAAATTAGGGTCAATGAGAAAACGTGCCGAGCACTTAGAGACTCAGCGGCAACCATGGACGTTGTCCATCCTTCATTGGTGTCTCCGGATGACTTCACAGGAGAATGCGCGTGGATCAGGCAAGTCGCCGAGGAGCAGAGTGTTCGCTTACCAATCGCCACGGTTGTCATTGAAGGCCCGTTCGGTAAGCTTCGCACCGAAGCGGCTGTGTCTGCCGCGCTGAACGATCGTTTTCCTTATCTTTTCTCCAACAACTCGGAGCAGCTCCTCAAAGAGCAGGGCAAATCGTTCTTCCCTAACTTTGCGTGCATGGCCCTCACGCAATCGCAAGCGCGAAAGCTTTCGCGGAAGCTTGATCTGGTTCAATGCAGTGAACTCTCAAGTGACCTTGTCGGCGGGTCGACGGAACCTCAGAGAAGAAATTTTCCGCGTGAGTCATGTGAGCAGTCACGTGAGCGGCCCGTCGCCGAAGCGACCGGCACGGTTTCCGTGGAAAGGGGAGACGACATGGCGCCATTGAGTCAGAGCGAGAGGGTTGCAACGCTCTCGCCTGTAGCGGAAAGTTGGAGCGAGCTGCCGAGAGTTGATCGAGAGACGCTCATTCGAGAGCAGCGTGAGGATCTCTCGATTGAAGCGCTAGGGGAAAGCCAAATTGAAGCGCTAGTGGAAAGCCAAACTGAAGCGCTAGTGGAAAGCCACAAAAACGCGGCACAAGTGCTGTCGAAGGAGCACTACGAGAAATCTGTGAAGAAGCGCGCTTTTGAAGTTGATAATCAGGTAACGCTGCTGCAGCCGTCCAAAAGGAACAAGCTTGAGGTTGATTGGGAAGGGCCCGCCACAGTATTATCGAAGCCTTGCGATTCATATTATGAAATGAAATTAGGAAGGCGGCCGGACAGAATTTACAACTTGATGAAACCATACGTTCAACATCAAGTGGTCGTAAATCTGTTGTTGAATGCTTCAGAGGAAGAGGAAGCAGAAAATTTGAGTTCTAGTGAGGTAATCGAAGGGGGATCGAAAGTAATCCGGGAGCAGATAAACCTAGAGCCTAGCTTAAGTGAAGGAGGACCTGAGAAAGAGGACCTGAGAAAGATTGTTTCCGAGTTTGGGTATGTGTTGTCGGACCGTCCCGGAAACACGAGGGTGATCGAACACGATATCGAGCTAAGCGGTGAGGAGTCAATCCGTAGCCAGCCGTATCGTCGTTCCCCTGTGCAACGTCGCAAGTGTGAGCCGCTCTTGGTGCCGCATAGGTATCGTCGCCTAAAAGTGGCCGGTTACTGAGGTGGAGCATGTTGCTCCACAGCGCAACTTTGACGTTCGCTATATAAAAAAAAAGTGAAAGCGAAATGCTAATGCAGGTGCATTGAGCAGTGCGTTCTAGCTAGTACCTTCTCAACCTTTCGGTTTCTCGCTGGCGATTCGGGGCAAAATTTTGACCTCATCACGACCTGGGCTGAGCGCTCTCGTTTAGAGTGATCTCAAGGGGCCAACTTTGTGGTATTCTAATTCGTTACGTTGTTGTACGTGAAAAAAAAATTGAGTTGTCATTTTAAGAGTCTTTTGTCCCACATGTGCCTCTTGATGTAGAGGGAACAAAATTCCGATAAACACGTAGATAGGTATATGTTGTATTATACTTTGTCTGGTGTTCTGTCGGGTGACCGAAGGCACTTGCTTGTGTCGTGTGTTGTCTGTTGTCGATCCGTTCTTGGCAAGTTGCAGAACCATCGGCAAGTGCTGAAACCGAAGATGGTCAGAAGAGACGAGTGAAGCTGGTCGACAAGTTGTGGCGACAAGCCAGTGGAGCTGGGATCTGTCGTCAAAATGGGACGTGTTCCCGGAACAGTCTGGAGCTGTATTCTCCCCATGGCCCTGGAGGCGAACCTGGAGGGACCTGGCGAACGAGCGCACCTGACATCCGAGCCCCGTGGAAGCAGCTCGTCTTTCTGGTGCATTGTCTGGCGGCGGGGGTGCTGTTATGCCAGCGAGTCCTCGTCAAACGTCCGTGCCTCTGAAAAAGCAATCTGGGTCAAGGCCAGCCCGCTGTCCGCCTGGCGCGATCAACTCGACGGCGTGAACACGCGCGGCGCATCTCTGGCCCACGTGCATTGAGTCAGCTGCGCACGTGACAGCGAGCCGGCGTCCTCGTGTCTGGTGGTCTGACGCATGGCGCGGCAACCCCATTGCAGGAGTCTGCCCTGACGACCAGCGGCGCTTCTGATTGGACATTTTGGTTGGACCCGGTGTAAATAAAAGAAGCCCTGCGGCGCGTCGCGATCGGCAGTCCTATGAGAGAGGAGTCCCCATGTCGGAGAGCCGACATGTGTGTGAGTCAGCGGCCTTAGGCGAAAAGTTGACCTATGTATTAGAGAGGAGAGCTCGGCTCTTCGAGTCTCTGTCGGCCCCAGTGCCGAAATTGTAACGCCTCTGTAATTATGCTGTACATAAACCTTGTTTAACTCACCGTCGTCTCGTCCGCTCGTCTTATCAGCTCTGCGCAGAAGCAGTCGCGAGCTGATAAACATACGCTACCAAACGGCTGGTGACCTTCCCGGCGGAGTTGAAAGCAGTGGCGCCTACAGGACCGTGTTGGCGTCGCCGTCTTGCGCAACAGTGGTGGCTTTGGTGGGATCGGTCCGTCGTTCGCAACAACGTGTCCACAACCCCCCACTGCTGATGCTGAGGCACTCACCCGGCTACGCTTCCGCATATGCTGTGGGAGTGCGCGGCACAGTACAGACACAAGCTAACACCAGGACCCTTTCGCCGAAGCTTCATGAGGGTATGCGATCCCCGCTCTCGACGACCGAACCTGCACGACCCAGCACGCCCGTGGGGCGGCGTCGAGGCTAGATTATGACGTTCCCTCATTGGAGGCCTAGGCCCAGCCACCTAAACCTCCTAGTTTCTGACAAAAAAGTTTACTCCTCCTCTTCCTCCCCCTCCTCCTCCTCCTCATCATCATCATTATCATCTTCTTCCTCCTCCTCCTCCTCTTGCTCCTTTTCCTCCTTTTCCAATAAGCTGTAAAGGGACTGACATGTGGGAACCACTTCTAATCTTCTGACTTTATAAATTTGCGCATACATGTATGTCGCGATTGACTGTGTGCAGGCGCGCAGGTTCAGTCCTCCCTTTGTAATCTCGTATCTTTAGTAAAAAGGATCAGTTGATGGCGCTGTCTTCTGTAGTACGCGTGCCACAGTAAGTTTTCCCGATCTTTTCGCGCTGTAAATAACGAACCTTCTTCCTTAATTGAATCCAGGAGCGTCCCCCCTGGCGTGGCTGAGATGCTTGGCCACCACCACCTACCTCCTCCGGTCAAGATGCCCAAGGTGCACCCGCGCCCTTCGTCCATCCAGCAACTGCTGCACGGCGTCGGCCACACGGCGGCAGCCTACACCAAGACCGAGAAAGGTGAGCGAGTATGTTCAACACGCACACAGGTCCCGCTGCACATACACCACTGGATCAACCTGCTAAATTAGATATGCGAAGAATGCAGTACAGGTGCATGTATAGGACAAGACGTGCATCTGCAGCAAGTGTTTTGTTGCACGGTGAACGCTCATTCACATCATCGAATGTCGCCGGTCGTGCGATCATTTGCAACTGGCGACTAAGGAGTTACTCAAGGTGACCGGTGTTCGCAGCGCGACGTGTACCCGTCGCCATGACGTATGCACTGCCTCGTAACGTATGCGCATGCTTACTATTCCTGCGTAGGTTAAGAAACCTGCTACAACATTCGAGCACGTAAATAATTCAGTGAAGATGAGCCTCGACTTGTAGTCAGTGGCGTTTGAACCTCCTTTCACCGACCCTTTTATTTCTTGGTGGCTCTCAACTTCACTACTTGAATAGGCGGAAGCCATGGCGACTGCGAAATAACGTCGTTTTCACGGCTATCCGCGCTTCTGTGCGCGTTGGCGCCCCTTCAATTTCCGTTCTCCTTCTTTCGAGCGGATGGCGCGCGTCCGTCCTATAGCTAATCCAAACGTCAACTTTATATAAGAGCGCTAGTGCTATCTCTATGTCACGAGACAGAAAGAGAATGAAACATTTTTGCTAATAAAGAAGTCGCTACAGTGCTTGGACCTCCCAGTCCAATAATCCATTGGCTCTTGCCGTAGTCCGGGCTCAGTCGACCAGGGCTTGTTGCTGTACAGCTGTTGCTGCTCGGAGCTGGACAGGGTCGTCCCCCACTCGACAATTGTACGATTAGGATTTGCCGATATAATATATTTGTTTTGACACTCCCAGACCATATTAAATAAAGTGGCTGCTTACAGGACAGAATTTGTACTGCGGATTGTACATCGAAGGGTCTATCTTGGACAACACCTAAGGATTTGGAAATGATGATGATTGCACTCGTCGCCACGTGACCTGCGATGCCTTATCGTATTTAGGATCAGGCGAGGGTAGAATGCGTCTACTCAGCCTGCTGTTACAGGATATCAGTATAGGAAATGAGGGGCTGGGGATCTTCTTGGTCAGCGACAAGTTGCGCTGTGGATGAAGCAGTGGAGGCCCGGTGTAAGAGATCGCAGGTGGAGGCATGAGCGAGTTCATTGCGTTTCAATCCTGTACGGCCTGGTACCCATAGCAGTTGTATCCACTGACCCTCCTGGCGAGTGGCCGCAGCCTGTTGCAGAATTGAATGTGCTAAGCGGCTGACTAGATTTCTGGCAAAATTACAATAAGCCACCTGGGAATCCGTGAGGACAAAGGTGGCTTTTGGGTTACGCATGGTTAAGGCTATACCGGCCTCTTCCAGGGATATGATGTCTATTCCGGCAGCCGAGGTGCCGTCCATGACCTGCCCCCTGTTAATCACGGCTGCCCCATGGCACGGTTGGGCAGTAATCGTGGCGGCATTTACAAAGAAGGCAGTCTTCACAAGCTGAATATACTTGTTCATATACTTGTTATATACTTATGTTTAAAGCTCTGGCAGCTCGCCTATTTTAGTGGTGGACGGGGTGCATATTGCGAGACAATAGCTGAGCATGGACATCCTTTTGCCATTCTTGTGGTATTGCTGGTAGACTTGCGTCCCCAATTGGTGCATTCATGCCGAGAGCGTTTAGCGTGGCACGACCTACTTTGGTACGTGCGATCGGATGAGTTGGTTCGTGGGATGAACTTCGAAAAGCTCTGGCGTTGTGTTATATGTGGCCATCGCAAGTAAACTGTCATTCACGATTTATCAAGGTAGATTGAGGGCTTTCCGTTATAGTAGACGGTCTACTGCGGTTTACGTCACGAGACAATACGGCACCGCGATTGGTGGGGAGTGCCGCCGCCGAGCATCGTGACACTCGTTAAAGCATCATTGGTCGCGAGTGGGCGAGGGCCGCCGAAAATTGTTGTTCTACGCGTTACGTGGTCCACAGACGTCATACGTCAGCAAGCGTAGCCATATAAAGCGTTGCCGTTAAAAAAAAAGTACGAGCCGCTAAGAGCGCGAGTGATTCCAACGACGCCGGTTTCGCAACGCAGCTTACAACCACGACGGTTCTACACAATAGATCTCGAGTGCTATTTTCTACCCTCCGGGAGGACGCGCCGTTATTCCGGGGCGAACCAAAATAAAGTCGTTCCTTTCTTTCTGACCTCCTTTGTTTAACTTCGAAACACCGAGCGAAAGGCATAGGTGCATACCTGAGGTCTGCCATGGTCCAAAGAGTAAAATACTTACTGAATAAAAAAGCGATAAACGAACGAAACGACAAGAAAGTCTCACTTATTTTGTTTTTCCAGCAGACTCATCGAATCGGAGCCACCCATAGCCACAGCAGTGGTCTTACACAACTGTCTCTCCGAAACCTCTCTCTTTTTCCGACCTCCCCATCGAGCAGTCCGGATGCTCGCTTGCTCGGCCGAGGAGAAAGGATGCGGCGTAAATTACACGGTGATCCTCCAAACGCACTAACGGTCTCGAAACAGGCACTAAAGTAACGACCGGGGCAGGCCACTTTTTCAAACGCCACATATACGATACGCTATATTTTCATCCTCTTCCTCAGCCACCTCTCTCTCGGACGTAGGTAACTCTCTGCGAACCCCCGAACGACCTCTCCATCTTCCCAATGATGCTTCTCCTCTTCCTTTCTTATTTTTTTTCTCTTCGTTTGCAACTCCCCTCGTCGGTTATTAATTGTACCCTTCACGGGCTTCTTTCTTTCTTTCTTTCTTTCTTTCTTTCTTTCTTTCTTTCTTTCTTTCTTTCTTTCTTTCTTTCTTTCTTTCTTTCTTTCTTTCTTTCTTTCTTTCTTTCTTTCTTTCTTCCTTTCTTTCTTTTTGTCTTTCTTTCTTTCTTTCTTTCCACTCTCTGTCTCCTTCATCTTGCTCCGTTATATACAATATAAGCGCAGCGCACCGAGCGCGCCGATAGGGCGCGCAAAAACAGAACACATTCATCACGCGGGAGCAAAAAGGAGATAGCTCGAGAAAGAGAAAACAAGAATATAAAGACAGAAAAGAAACAAAGAAACGGTGGGAGAAGAGGCACGACAAACCGGAGCGGAGCTGCGCTATGTCTACGTGCAGGAAGAAGAAGAGTCGAGACGCTGTGCCAATGTTAGCATTCCAGCTGTGAAACCGTTTCTTTACGCTTCTTGCGTTTCAGTGAGCTCGCCGCATGCAGCGATGCCGCGCGGGCGCGCTTCGTACCGGGGAAGAAGAGGGAAAAAATCGTAAAGGAGTGGCAGAGCGAAGCGGTCAAGAAGAGGAAGGAGGGTCGGTCCTCTTCGTGCGAGAGTGGGCGTGTCGAAGCAAGCGGATCGAAAGGATTCGTTTTACAACTGCCGACGACAGTGCGTGTTTAGTCGTAGAGTACTACCCCTCGCGGAACCCTTCGTGTGGCCCCGACAGCTTGTCGATATCCGGCGTTCCACTCTACTGTCGAGTCCGTGGCGGTAGGTTTGATTTCCGGCCTCGCTAGGAACGAATTCTACCTAGAGACGCGATAAAAGGACAAGTAAAGGTTCACGTATTTAAAACAATGTCGAAGCTAAAGAAAATCACGCCATATTCAGGAAATGAATGATGAAAGTGGGCGAAGCTCAAGAGTGAGAGAAAATCGGTAAACCACAATTCTCTCGTGAAACGTTAGCCCATTGCATCATCAGAAAGACGTACTCTTGTGCGTATATTATACAAATCAACTTTTATTTTGCGTTATTCGCAGCCGTTCGCAAACGCTGTTTTTGTCCTTGTTTGCAAAGGGGCTTTTATATTAACGTCGGTGGCGTGGTGTATGGGGTGTAGTGGGATGTTTGCAAGGACGAAGTACGGTCGGCAGTTTGCAAGGGTGGTTACGAACCGGTCACAGAGAGAGGACAGACCCACGGCTTTAGGAGCTTCGCCCCTAAAAGTTGTGCTGCGGCCGCTTCCTATAGTTATCTCAGAGGGGACGGGGCGCGAAGTCTAACCCGTACGTGGCTTTAATATGAATGAGGGCGCGACGGTGACGCTTCCCCGACCCCCCTCGAGGAGAAACCCTGTGCATGCTTATTATTGTAGCTTTTGGACGTCGAATCCCGATATAGTTACTATTGATGCTAAAAGGTTTGCTGCCTTTACATCATTGGCCTTCCATCATGTCCGAAACGGAGGCAGCTTTCGGTTCGCTTTGACTTTAAAACAATTAACTAAACCAGTCAGCCGCTTGCACAAAGTTTTAGGACAAAAACCTGAGCACGCGGGGGGGGGGGGGGAATCCACCGTAAAATAAGGCAGAGTCTGCAAAAAACGACAACACGAAAAAAGAGAACAGTGTTTTTCTTATTCTCGTCTCTCATCTAAACGTGTTTGGCAAACTTAGCTTCTTTCATGGCATAACTTTTCTCAGCCTCTACTCTCGCGATTTTTCTTTTACGCTGCACGGAGACATTTCACAAAAGTTTCTCTCGGAAGTTCAAAGATTGTATGTAACGAACGTACGTGAACTTTACGAATGAACACTTTGAGTATGTTGTCTCTAGACTATGTAACTCTGCACGGGGGTGCGAAAAAATGGTCCAAAGAAGATATAAATACAGAGAGAAAAACAAAGTTGCAGAATGTTTTCAGTTTGTTCGCTTAACGTTTATTAGAATCTCGTGTACGACAAGCACGATTACCTTTAATTTGTGGGCTGCCAGAAATAAATGTCATCATTACTTCATGATAGCCTGTTACATAAGGAGGCAGAGCAGGCCCAGAGGACGTTGTTTTGCTATATAGCATACCGTTGTTTTCCTATATAGCGTACCGACAAATTTTCTCTTCGCTTATTCTCTCGTTTTTCCCTCTTTCTTGCACGTAATCCATCCAAACGGCAGGTATAGCTAACCAGACAATTCATTTAGAGGGAGTGGATTGTTCGTAAGAGGACCACTGTATATGGATTGTCCATTCAAGCGCACGCT